CATCAATACCTATAAAAATGCTGACAGGTTAACGGGGAAGAATATTTAGAAGGCCGTTTTAAATGAAAACAGTAAACATTGTGGTACACGCTGTATGGCTTCTTCGACCGCAAGGCTGAACGCCAGAGACTTTCAATTCGCTCCAAATATTTGTTCTCAAGTCCAACATTTTCAGTTTATCACAGTAAACATCGCTCGACGTTTGAAACTCAAACATCTGATCACTTCTTCCACCAAATACGTACATACAATTGTCAATAATACATGTGGTATGGAAGTCACGCCACTGAGGAACATCGCCCTTAATGAAAAAATTTAAAATCATTGGAAGAATAGAAAATTTATGAAAAATTAGCTTACTGCTTCTGCTGTCTCAAAAAAAGTTATCATTAAAAATACAGCTACCAAGTCCTTCTAATCACAACTTTGAATTTTTCCGAATTATAACTATGAAACTGTCAAATCTGTTCAAAAAGATAAACAGAATTATTGCCATTAAAAAAAACTACTTTAAAAAAGCTATAATCCTCTAAAGCTACTTTCCAGAATAATAGCCACCAACCGTTGATTAGTTAGAAGTCCCTTTCACAATGGAGAACCGTATAAACAAATTCATTATGAAAAGATTAAAAAAGGGAATTTCTTTAAAACCCTCCTCATATGAAATATATATGTAGCCGTCATTCTGAAAAAGTTCTAGCTAAATTAGCTCAAAAAAAGAGAGATAAGACCTAATGCAATTACCGTCGTGCGAAGCTGATACCATCTATATGTTTCAAAATTGAATACATAAGTCTCACAGCTGTACCTGAAAAATTTTCACACCAATGAGGAAAACGCATTCGATAAAGAATCAACTTAAAAATATATGTTGTGAAATAAAAGACCTTCTAGAACTTTCTTCGTAGCCGCCAAAAATATACATTGAGCACTCATTAACACAAGCACTATGACCGTCTCGAGCAGGAGGAGGTTTACCTTCACACTTCAACACCGACCATTGACAACCACCTAGAAAACCACCCAGTAATTTTTACAAATAAAGAATAGCAATTTTTGTAAGCAGAAAATTTATGACACAAACAATGCACTGCCCAAATCGGCTTTACACAGAACGAAGCAATTAAGTCTCTATGCAATAAAAAATTAGCTTTTTAAAACATACCAAGTAAAACACAGTAGCAGATTAAGACACTTACATGGATCAAACATATGCATTCTGTTACAAGCTCCGTAGTCATCGTTCCGTCCACCCCACAAGTAAGCTTTACCATCATACTGCACTACCGTGTGGCCATACCGCTGATATGGCGCGGCTTGAAAAGTCGATGACGTAGCACCATGGTCAATGCTGTCACTGCCCAATACGTCTACTTTCGACCACCGAAAATTATCTAAATTCAAGAATTCCAATTTAAATAACTGCACACTATATTTCAAAATCAGTTGTTTTAGGTGGGGGGTGGGTATGATTAATTATAATATAACTACAAATAATTGATCATACCCAACAATACAGAGCTACAAAGCCCAAACTAGTTCGCCCTGCATTAAATTTTAGCGCAAAACAAAGTAGTATGGAATTCATAATGCCTCATGCATTGCATTCAGTGTTTAAATCCATACTAAAGGCAAAAATATAATGATAACTTTCTCGCAATGTTTTTACTAGAATAAAGAGTTCACTAAAAAAACAAGACCAACTCGTATCTTGCTGTTTAAGCCAAAAGTCTTCATAATGCGTAAATCTGTGCCGCTTAAAACAATAGCTTCATACAAGCAGTTTCAGGCCGTAAGTGGAAAAGATTAACAAGTAACCATTGTTTAAACCAGAGAGAGAACGAACTAGGAACATTTTTAGCAACAGTGTACAAAACAGTTACTATTCCACAAAGTATGCTTCAATTTCTTTCAATATTCTTAGCTAAATCAGCATTAACAGATTACCTAGATAATTAAAACGAATAAGTTCATTCCAGAATTGGTCATATACAGTGTGCCCGAGTCAAACGTTGAAGAAAAGAACACAGTTAAGGGCGGATCAATTGAAAAAAATTAACCCCCAACTTTTACCATAAAACGTAAACCTCACAAATCCTACGGCCACTTCAGAAAATAATTTTTTTAATTTGTTCCTTCTTCACTTCCAAACTCTTTTCACTTAAAACTTCATAAATTTATTTGAATAAGCTGCATAACTGAAAAAAAAAAAAAAAAAAACGAAGAACAAAAAATAAAACTATCTATAATTCGCAAGAAGGTTTCAATGCTACTACACATTCCTACATTAAATTTTTTGGCCAACTTTATGCTGCAGATTCTTATTTGATACATTTCTTCAAAGTCATTACTGTTTTTAAAAAACGAACATATTTGTACATTTTAAAGAATATTGGTGTCGTCGACCAATAAACGAGATGAGTCATTCAATAAACAAAAAAGGACATCTTTTTAACCCAGCAGGTATGACTTTAAGCAGTAGTTCTTCTAATTAATAGAAGAGCAGCTAAGAGATGAGTTGAGGAAAAACTCTTTTAAGAGTACAAATCTAGCTGTCAGAACTCTGTTTGGAACAGAATGCCTATTGAGAACGAATAAAAGGAAAGTAACAGTAAAAACCTAGAGTCGATAAACAGACGTCGACTAAAAAACGTAAAACTACAATTTTTTTTACTGTTACTGGACATCCCCTATCAAAATAGTGACACCTAATATCATTTCTTACGTTTTAAAAAAGTCAGTTATTCTTCACAGCGCAAGGACCATGATATTATTTACCTATCAATTTTCTGCCACTTCCACCTGCGGTTATATAATGATAAAGCTTCTGCACCACATAAAGATTCACTGAACAAATATAGAAACAATCACTATGTGCTACACGTTTCAAGATATTGCATCATTCTCAAAGAGTAACAATGATTACCTGTGTCAAGCACATGAATGTCAATAGGTCGAGTACCATCGTAGATCTCGCCAGAACAGTAACCGCCAAACGAGTAGATCTTATTACCAATGGCTACGGCAGCATGATTCACACGTCTTGGACCCCCGTCAACTTTAACCGTCCAGTACATTCTAAAAGACAAATCACCGGCGAAAACTGCTAGTTGCACTAATAGCTAAACCCTGCGAAATGCCATTTTTATCAATAATCCGGTAAAAAATTAAAAGTCAATGTGATTGAACAAATATATCAGATTGTTACTCCAAACTTAGTTCTCCAGCATCAGCGATAAAAAAAAAAATGTATTTATTGCTAAAATGAGCACTAAAAGATGCAAGTCAATATCTCTCAAGAGTCTTAAATATCCCCATTAAACTTGTGCGAAAAGAAAATGAACAAAGTAACCGACATTTCTACTAAAATTATATATTTTCCTAATTTGTCAGTCAGTTCTCACCTTTAAATAAAACAAAAAATAAAATTCTAAACGCGCAAAAGCATAAAAATTGAATTGGTCTTATATGAGAATAGAAAAGTGGTCCGAACACTGCAAAATTTTGAATTAAAGAATGATTTTCCTAGCCCAAAGCTTATGACTTTGAAAATCAGTCGCAAAAGTGTTCTAGCTTTCTTCACAATGAACAATGACATCTGTAACAAAGTTTCAGAAAAAAAGTTAGAAATTCTTTTATCAGTAGTGTAAGAAATTTATTTACATCCATCAACGTTATTTAAAGTAGATAATGAAGGTTATTCAGAAATAAAACAGTCTGGTGGGATTTAAAGTCGCTATAAGCAAACCATACCTTTAAAGTGTAGGTGACCACAATAAATTTTCCTCCAGCTTCATCAGATAGTCAAAATAGACGCAACGCAAATTGAAAAAAAGCAACAAAAAAAAAAACAATTTCAAAACTGAACAATGGAAACACTAGACAATTCAAATAATGTTAATCTTGAAAGTCAATCTCAAAAAAACGAAAAGAAAAAAAATATCACATCAAAAATGTTATTTCAGAAGTGAATTACCATTTAAAACCTGAAATAGCCCAAACAGCTGCTGCTACAACCATAAGCATTCTGTTCTCAAAGTCGAGTAATCTTCTAAACTTTTAACATTAAACTTTTCACTGCCTACTACCATTAATGACACGCTTTTGTAGGAAAAGATTTATTGTACAGTACTGTAATCAGATGATGTATCATGCACTAATATTAAGCCTACTGAATAATAATGATTCAGACTGCATAATATGATCTGCACTGCACTCGATGTTCCCAATACTGTTAAGAGCGCAGAAAACTGGAACTAAACTTTCTGATAAATGATTTTTTGAACAAATGTTCCTTCTTCCCATCCTTATTCATTCATGCACACTACTCAATTAAGTTCAAAACTGCAAGCTTACCTCGAAAAAATAGACTCAATCTTTGCTATTAGCTTTTCTGTGTGCTACCAAATTACCAATTAGAAATAATAATGGTCAATTTGCACTGATCCTTGAGTAATGCTACAATTCTTCTTTTCACTGTTTCAGTCCAGGCCAGTGCGACAATTGGAAAAATATTTAATATTATCTCTACCATTCTAAGTTGTCAGCGAATGAAATAACGTAATATTAAGGCAGTGGAACGTTTAATGAAAAACCTACAACTTACAATATTAAATTAAACTGAGCTTCAGCAATCCACCAACAACACTGATGTATCAGTAATGAGCAATAACCAAAAGGTGAAAAAAATTGATACTGCAACAAGAACAAAGATACATGAGCTAATAGTATTGAACTGGTTAAAACTTCTAGCAGTTTATTACAGCAGTTACAACTGTATTATCTTATGCGTTCAGAAAAGAGATTTATAGTATCAGAAAAAATGTATACTCATTATATCAATCTGGTAAGAGGTAGCAAAATAATGATTAGAAAAAACAAATGAAATAAAGAGTAATAGTATCCCTGATAAGTAAAAAATAAAATTTGCAAAACAACAATTGTAAAACATTCACGTGACAAAGCTGCTGAATGACAACTTAAAAGTAAAGAAATTCCGACAAACACTCCGCACGAAAACTATCCGATTGCCAGGAACAACCCTCCGGTAGTGTTTTGCCCTGTACTCCCCATAATCTTCTTCCTTCTCTTTAACAAGGTCATCTTGAGAGTGCAGTGAACGCAATGAATGACCTGATGCGTCCCCTGATCAGTAGTATCAGTCAGATACTGGCTAGATCAAATTAGTAGACAAGCCTAAGCTGAATATGGAAAAAGACAAACTGTTGCCGAACTAACCGTCGCCGTATAATAGTCCCCTTTCTTAACCTACTCTTCCTTGCAGTCGAAATGCACACTAAACAATAAACTATAATATTACTCTGATTAAAGCAGTTAACTATTAAACAGCTATATTCAGATTTTTTTTAACTTGAAACTTTTAAGCAAAAGTCATTCCACTTATCTGATAACCACCAAAAGTTAGAACTTCAAAAAGAATGAAAAGAGGTCAAAGCAATGCTTTAGTAAGAAGTAAACTTCAAAATAAAAAATGCTTATATGAACTGAGGAGAAACTTGATATTTATAAAAAAATTTGAAACAATGAGACAATTTGCGAAGAACATAGTTTGAATGCGAAGATTCAAAACAGAAACAAAAAAAAAGCAATTGAAAAATTATTAGAATGTTTCAGATAATGTAAAAGTGGCAGTTAGAAGTGAAAAATTTGCTGCTGATGTTGCAGCTTCAAACCCAACTTCATTCTAAACATCAATTTTTCTTAACAAATAGTTTTTGAATCAAAAATTCCAGAGAGTTTTCTACACTCCATGTAACTTACAACTGAAAAAAAAAAAAAAAAA